TTCGTGTGATATCTCCGTGTCAGGACCTCACTCAGAGCAGCAGTGGTGTTTGCGCCACTTGGTTTTAGTTGGGAGGTATGGGGAACCCCAAACACTCCATGTCACGTCCAGGCTATTCAACACCCAACATCAGTTCCCGTTTTGGGGGTCTGCAATCGTTTCCATCGGCTATGGGACCGACCATTTACCTGCGGCCAGATCATGACCACCTATACCTTGCTTATCCTTGGTTTAGATATGTGTAGATCGAGGCAAGCAGCGCTTACCGAACGTCACCCGTTGAGGTGTGCAGCGACGCTCGGCAGAGCGTCAATGGTGCCACTGAGAACGCACAGCGCGGCATGGCAAGATTTATGATGCGGATTGAAGCTTTTGGATTAGCTTAGAATATCTTGGGACTCTTGGTTTTTGGTGTCTTCCCAGGTGGTTAGTTTATTACAATGTAACTATTTTAGCAGCAGACCTGTAACCAATTGGGTTTTGGTCTGTCTTGCCTCTTCCAGGGGTCTTTGAGAGGTCTCCGTATATTCTTACTCACCCAAATGATGTTGACCGTGCCAAGTGCTCCGAACAGGTCTTCTCTCGAAAAGGGCCAGAGATTTGCAATGTTTTGGTTGCTGAACATATTGTCTCTGAGAAGCTGTTTTTTGAGTTTGTTTGAAAGCACATTGAACATTTGAGGAATAACGAGGCAGCTGCATTCTTTCTGGTGGCAGCTGTATTCTTTCTGGTTGCGTGCATCTTTGGGATCCATAATGCACAAGTTCGTGCCCATGAGAAGCTTTTGTTGAACGATTATGATTCAAACCATTATATACAATGGTTCTCCAAAGGTATGCACAACCCCCTGTGCCCCATCAGAAGTTCTTGTTTAACGTTCTTCAATCCAGTTTGTTTGGCCATTGCTCCTAGCAAAGAAGCTACACAGCTGCTTGCCAGCTTCTTTGGTGGAGCTAAAATCCTTTGATGTCCAATCGTCAGGACCTATGGCATTAAATATACAGATATACATATTGTTTTATATATATATATGGACATGGACATTGAAGATATATAAATTAAGCGTGCTTGATAGTGTCTCTTCACTCTATCATACCAGGTGATAGCAGGTGTAGTGTAGTGGTTTTGCAAGCCTCATGTTAACTCATGCAAGGAAAAAATGTTCGTGTGGCCACACGGTCTTTCTTTCCGCTTTTCTCACCGTTTGGTGAGACGAGGTGTCAAGATGCCAACTGGATCAAGTGCCAGACGACCCAATCAACAAAGCTGACGGGAATGAGATACCATGAAAGCTCAAGTATTGAGCCTGGCTTGGTTACCATGGAAGCGTCCCAACAACACCCAATGTTCCCAAATGCAAACATTATTGAAAATTGTGACATCACCATCTGTCCTTGAAGCCCTTTGCAACCTCAATGACTGGGGGGTTGGGTGACATCTGGGGGTGTCAGTTTTGGGTTTTCCCTTCTGAAAATCTGTGTCTGGCTGACACCCAAACCAACCCTCCTTACCTAGGATATGGAGGGTCCTAGTATTGTCACCCTACATTGTCGCGGCAGGTATTGTTTCGGGCAGTTCTCAGCCATCTACCTTCAGAGTCATGGCTGAGTCTGTCATCCCAGGGAGACCTTCCCTCCTTCCGGCGTTCCGACCCCCTGGGTTCGGTGAAGGGAAATAGACCCAGTCTACCCCGCCCAGCGCCAGGGAAAGCACTGCGATCTCCCTATTAAAGTACACACCCGGCACCCCAAGGTTCCTTCGGTTCAGTGACCTGATTTTCAGGATCCTACTATATCCTATGGGGTACCCAACTGGGAGGACGTCGAACGAACTCGGGTTCTGACCCACCTCTCTTGGCCCGTCGGCTCTGTCCACGCGGTACCTCTCGAGGCTTAGCGCGGCTCTCCATGGAGCTTCAGACTTTGGAGTTCCTGGCGCCCGTGGCCCCGAGCTTAGGGGACGAAGGGCACATGGGGACGTGGAATCGGAACGTCAGGAAGTACGTGGAGAAGCTGCAGAAACCTATTTACTTGGGGAAATGTTCTTTCATTAAGACAAGAACAGGTGAAGGTGAAGATGGTGAGGAAGCTTCCGTACGTATGTTAAGTCAACCACATTTATTTGGCAGGCAAAGAGCTTGGGACGCAGGGAACCTGCGGGGTGAGTATAGTAAAGTGAGGTTTGGATAGGGGGGCGAGTTGGAGTTTTGTTCCTGCAGGTTCAAGTTGCAGCTGAAAAAAAAAGAATACAACCTCGGGGTTCTGCTGATTCTCAGGTGGTTGAAAGGCACGGTTTGTTGGGTGGAGCATTTGATTTGGGGTATATGTTTGCGACATAGACACAACAAACCAACAGCCGGCTTCAGATATTGTTTTGGAAGTGTCCTCTTTGAGTCCATCAAGACTGTCGGTATATAATGCCTAACCCCCATGTGTCTAGTTACCAATCGACCAGCAGGTGGCAAAAGGGCCTTCAGCATAGATTCCAACCTCGTGGTTTCCAAACTGGAAAGCATCTTAAACTGACAAAAACAAACACATCCTGGCTGATGGTGTCTGACATTTTATGTTAAAGCTTTTCTTGAGAAGACTGAGCCCACTGACGAATCGTTCAAGTGAGTTGAAACCACCAACACACACTAAGAGGATGCCACGTCCAACTCACTGGTGGGCATCGCCTGCAAAGGCTTCGACTGGCATGCCTCCGACAGAGGTGCGATGGGACGGGAGCCCCAACACATGTGGGTTTGGGGCTGCCTAAAATTAACATGGTGTTATTAATGTTTTTAATAGTTGGTGTTGATGATTCTTCTTGCAGTAAAACTGTGTGCTGCACATCAGTGAAGGACAGAGAATGCTGTAAATATAGTGCATACGTTATGTCGCACTGTTTTCAAGACGATGTTTTTGTTGTTATTCTTATTGTGATAATGTGTTTGGCGATGCTATGTGCATCCTTTGCGTTTTACGTATGTCTGCAGCAAAATTCCACTGTGTTTCGAACAACCAAAAAACATGTATAGGGTACTCACTCTTTGGAATGCTCTATATTTTAAATATTCATATATATATAGATTTATTTATTTATGTCATTTAATTGATTCACAAAGACACTGTTGTCTCCACTATATGTTAAAACTATTATCTTAATGATATAATATATATATAACTAAATGAGTAACTACTGTAAATATACAGTACCTTACAAATGCCAACATCAACGGAGCAAGAAGCTCCTGGTCAAGATCACATGCATTCGACCCGGTGAGTTCACGGTCCCGATGGCGACTGCGACTGCGAAGCTCGTAGGGAAAAGAAGGCGAGCACGAGAAACACCTCGGTTTCAGCAAATGGGCCAACCCAAGAGGTTGGAGAACAGACATCAGAGCCTCACCTTGTCTCGTGAAAGAAAAATGTGCATCAAGCAGACTTCAAGCCACAATCCTCGGCCACGAGATAAACACTTGTTTTGTCACTGACAACATGTTTCAACGCAGCGACGTGAACCCGCGCGAAACTGCGCCGTGTCACATTGTTCTTGTTGTAGTGAGTTTGATTGTTTTCTGGTGTTTGATGAAACAATCCGTGTGGTCTACAAGGAATTACGACGCTCACCAAGATGTGTCACCCACAAAACGCTGGAGCACAGAAAAAAAAAAACTGTTTGTTTGTTTACAACTATAACTTTCAGTGTCCGCTCCGGTAAAAATGTTTTTGTCGAACAACATGTTTGTAGGTGCAGTTGCCACTGACCCGGTCGTCCCTCCAAACGTCCCAGTTGTACAGCTGTCTTTGTTTTTTCGGGTAATGGGGTCCCATGTTTTCGTTCGTACGAACGAAGTCAGGTCCAAGTGGTCTCACCATGTCTCACCTGCGGTTCCCCCAAAAGACCTCCATCATCTGACGCCAGATGCACCCAGAAACGTGAGAAACGTGCAGGTCCAGTTGCTGGCAAGTGAAGCCTTACGACAGGCGCGAAGTATTCAGAGGCTTAGGTCGATGGCGATATACAGGAATTGCAGATGAGTGGAGAATTCGAAGGCGGAGTCTTTTTAGATCTTTTTAGTTTCCCTGGGGGGTTCGCGGCTTTCTAGGTGACCGAGTCATTAACACTGTAGACTCCCAAACCCATGTGAACATGTTTTCGAAGTGTTCATCGGCCTGGTCGTTCGACGTTCCCACAAATCAGATTGAACTGAACTGCAGGCACATTGCCTAGCAACTGTGGTGGTAGCTTGCGTCGTGGCCATACGACATCCAAATACGTTCATATGTTCATTCTATATCAATTAAGGGCACCTTGAGCAACAGGAAGCTCACTGTCAAGGTCATGTACAAGTAGGACATAGTATGACTATTGTCGCTTGATATCTTGGATTCAATTGATTGAAAGCCCTGAAGAGCCCCAATTGGATCAGTTGGAGGCAACCCAATTATTTGCTTTCAACATTCAGAGGATTATTGACAAGCATCATCTCTGGGTCGGATCTCGTCAATAATATGTTGTTGGAACTCCTGTCGAACCAATGCCAAGGACCATTTTTGGCAAAGCTTGATAAGATGCTTATGGTACAATTATGTACCAGAAAGGACCAATGCTTTCGCAAAGCTTGATAAGCCTACCATTTGTCGAACCAAAGCTTGATAACCAGACCATTTATTATGCTATCAAAGTATCATTTGGTTCGCCTGTTTTGGGGTCTGGTTAGTCTTGTTCGTGGGTGTTCCATCCCGTTGGGCGAAAGGACCAATGAGGCTCGTCTTGGATAGACAAAAGCAGGTATATCCAACTGACTCGCTAACATGGTGGAATTCACCACCATTCACCACCTGTTTGGTCTTCGGAATTCTGATCATCCAACAGGCGTGAAAAGACGCCATCCACTTCCAAGTCGATGTGTTCGTCAGGTGAAAACACGCCAAGCTCTTCATGTCTATGCCGTGAACGGATTGTTTTTTGCTTCGAGAGATGTATTTCTGGCTCGCAGCCATTGGCGAATTATGTTCTGGAGCAAGTCTGAGAGCCCAATTCGAATCCTGGGCACGCTTCGAATCCTGCGTAATAATGGAGAAGAAACTTTGTTGAGTTTTGGAGACACTGATACAGTGCTCGCACTCAAGAGGAGGCTTAGAGAGCTTCTTGTGACGGGCAGCGAGCCGGAGCTTGTGACTGGCAAGGAGCTGACGCCACCATGTTCTGCCATGCGATTGATCTTTGGTACTGATGTTTTGTTGGATAACTGGGTCTTGGGTGATCACGGAGTGGTTGATGGAGACCAGCTGACGCTGGTCTTTTCACACGCGCCTTTGGGGAAATTTGACTGCGTTCTGGAGACGGATGATCCGGATACATGGACTCTGGCGACCGCATCATTTGCGCAAGAGGGTGATTGTTGCATCAGCATCGTAGAGGAAGACATGATTTCGATTGACATAGAAGATGAGTATGACGAGTATGACCCATACCTTAATGGATCCAAATGGGAACATTGGTACAATGGTCCGGTGGAAGTTACCGGGTCTCAATTGTGCATTGTAGTCGAGAGCAGTCATCGCTTGGGCTTGTTCGACTCAATCCCAGAGCCTGGTGTCTTGCTTGGCGAGATTCTTTGCCAAATGAAACCTTTCAATCCAGCACCACCCAAGGAGTGGTTATTAGATGGAAAATACATCTTCAGGGGGGTCTATAAACCACCCTTTGGGTGGTTCTGGATGTTAATTTTACTTTAGACCACTTTTTTCCATCAACTTCAGTGAATTCAGAGTATATTGAGCACAGCCCTAGAGCTCTTGTGGCTGAGGATCAACAAATCACTGGAGGGTTTTGCCGACTATATAGCCGTGAAATTGCTGCATATAACATATTAGCCTTTATCCATCAAGATTTGACTTTATATTCTTTGTGGCTCAGTTAAGGATGTGCGATGACGCAACAGTCAGACTTCAGTTGCCCTTTGGTTTGAGCCGTGTCACTGGTGAAGAACCCTTGAGATGGATCACACTACGAAAGGAAGAACGCAAAATCTGTTCTTACCCTTCAACTGACGAAGACAGGCGACTCCCCGGCGGCGCAGTGAATCCTGTTTGAAGCTTCTCAAATCATGTGCAACAAAAGCGTTCTGCGGGTACTCCACTGAAGGTTACATGCTTATCATGCGTTATGCGCTAAGTATTTCTGCATGTGTGTTCTCCTATGCTCCGGTGTAGTAGAGGTGAAGGTGGAGAAGGTTTTATATGTGCACCATGGGTGAAACCATGAACTCTTAGTTCATTGATGTACTATGTACTTCGAACTCACTCCTGGTACCTTGAAGAACCTGGACCGGAAGTTGTGTGTGTTCTTGGCACTGTGAAGTCTTGGTACCATGGGTTTTACCAACAGAGGACTTTCAGGACCCTAGTTCGGGTACCCCAGGTGACAGGTTCTTTTTCGGGTCACTGATTTGGCCTCTGTTGGGGACCTGTATGTGCTTTGACATAGAGTTCCACCTTTTCACCTGGAAGTCTGGCGCTTTCAGGACATGGGGCGCTTTCTTTTATGGGTCAGTTTTTGGGATGCCCACAGTTGACAGTTGCAGATGTTGCAGAAGATGACAGACCTGTCTCCACAGAGAACACAGACCTGTTTGTAGATTCCAGGTGACTTCTGGTCTGGTCCTTTGAAATCAAGGTAGCAAACCCTGCGAAGTTACACGGTTTACTCGGCTTGAAGACATTGCTGGCCCAGAAAATGGGACGAACAAAATGGCTCTCCTCATCTCTCCTCAAATAAATCAATTTACAGTTCATTATAGTGAGTTTTATATAATGTCGTTTTTCAAGTCGTGTTAGCGGCAAGGGGCATACGACATGTAGAGGCAGGCCGGCGCTGTTGAGGTTAAGCAGGATTGGATGAAGTGGAACTCAACGAAGCCCGTCACCATGGACGTTGCCTCCACTTTTCCTGTGAAGCCAACTGAGAGTGGAACCCTGCGAATACTGACAGTAAATGGAGAAGAGATTCTGGTGAGTTTTTGGGCCTCTGATACAGTGCTGGTACTGAAGAAGAGGCTTCAAGAGCTTCTTGTGGATGGCAGCTCGGAACTGCCATGTTCTGCCATGCGCTTGATCTTTGGTACTGATGTCTTGTTGGATAACTGGATCTTGGGTGATCACGGAGTGGTTGATGGACACCAGCTTACACTAGTTCTTTCACCAGCTCCCATTGGCCTCTTTCGAAACAGCGCACCCTCCGCGGCATCGGGACTGGGCCTTTCTGCTTCGGTGTGCGCGTCCTTTGCACAAGATGGGTCCTTTGAGAGTCTTATCTGCACTGGCCAGTCAGACTCCGTTGACCAAGGCCAACCGAAATTGAGGTATGTCCAGTACTCGGCCAGTCGCTTAAGGCTTCGACCCTTGCATTCAAGTCGGTTGCGTGAAGGCTACTATGCTCTTCGGGCAACAACCGGGCCGGATCGATCAATCAACCAATTTGTTGTACTGCTCGAATTGTTACACTCCCTAAAAGATTTGCACAAGTGGAAACAAACACCTGTTTGTAGAGAAAAATGTCCATCCAAGCGGCCGGCCTCTTCAAACAAAGACGTTTCTTTGCTGCCTCAGGATCACTATAGACGAGACGATGTTCTCTGCTGACGCCTTCGAGCCGCCCATGTGCTTTCAACATTCCTATCATGGCACTGTTGCTGCTGAAGTGGACTGCTTTCAGATGACCATCACGGAGCACCGGTGGTCGGGTCCAGTCCCTCCGGATGGACGACATCGATCCATCGATGGCGTGCTGACTGGAGAGTTCTGTGAAGATGGTCGCTGACCGAAGCCTTTGGAGTTTTTTTGTTGCGGATCGAGCGTTACTTTTAGTTATGTTTGATTTAGGAGCAGAGTGTGTCCCAGTAGACCAGTAACAGTCGGTAACCTTTTGATGCTGATTTGGGGAAAGGTCTTTACTCACCATCATATTTGTTCTTTGAGTCTAAGTTGCTTTGTATGAGGTTTTGGGAGGTCCATGCACTGATTCATGTGGGTTCCGGACCGGAACTTCTGGCGATCAGTCATAGTTGAATGATGATGAAGATATCCCAGACACGACCAATGGGACTGCCACATATGCCGATCAGTTCGGGTGGGTTGAGGGGTCAATGTAGGCATATATGGCAGTCCCATGGAGTGTTTGTGTTGTTGTTTTGAAATTATTTAATATAATCAATTGATAAATTGATCGCATGTTGGCTTTACCCACAGGTCCCATCCCCTCACCTAAGGATGTAAGGTATGCTCGAGACATCATCAAGCCATGCTTTTGCAACTGCTCTTCTGGAAGAATTCTTCACAGGGCTGATCACATGCACGGTCAAGTTCACCTGCGAGTTCCAAAGATTTCCAACCCTTTTGAGCCTCAAAATTGGAACTCGCTGGTCACTGGCCCAGCGGATTTCTCCAGAGCCCAGCTGATTGGGAAGGCTCCAGTCACCGACGACCTTCCCTCACCCAGTGGATCGTAGGTCGCCAGGGATTCGATTCGGACCCAGCCATAGACTGACCGAGGGCCTTGGGCCCGGGCCGAGGTCTTTGTTTCAAACATGTTGAATTTCTTTGATTGGTTTGGTCGCAAAAATCGGGTCAGGTAGTGAGCTGAAACTCCACCTGCCAGTATCTGGGCGGCTCGGACTGAAGGAAGACGACTTCACCTGGATCACCCTATTTCGGGAACCGCCCGGCGGTGAAAAAGCAGAGCTAAGCAGCGACCGTGGGATACCGTGGATGTTAGAGCTCGTGAGAGCTCGGCGTTTGGAAATGAAAACGGCATGTTTTCATTTTTTGTCACATGATTTGTGTGTGTGCCTTGGATCAAGCTTGTTCACGGTGGTTTTGGGTTGCCAACCTGTTTGACCGCCACTTGTGCCATTTTAGATCAAAGTGGCTTGGTTGTGTATCTTGTCAAAAGTATGTGGAGTTGCCAAACCTGACGCAAACACAACCAACGGCTCAAGCGCTCAAATTCCCTTGACTCGCGTTTCTTTGCCAAGATCTCGATTGACGCATGGCGCTCAGTGGTTTTTTCAAAGCACCTCCTGGACCAGTTGGAAAGAAGATCGCTATTCATGCCCATGTGAGCGCATGTTTTGAGGACGGAAACTTTGTTGTGAGGATTGATGAAGAGAACATCCACAGTGAAGACAAGGAAGACTCTGATCCCTTCGAAGATGGCAGCCTGTGGGAACAGGAATACAAGGGCACGATTCAGATGGAAGGGTCTCAGTTTCAGCTGCTTGTGACTGAGAGCACTCGTAACGGTCAGTTTCATGGTTTGGAGCCACCGGAGGTTTTACTGGGTGAGAAGTGTGAGGAGAGTGGACATGTGAAGCTCCAGCTCCCCTTTGGGGGGTGCAGTGATGCAGAGGAACCCCCGCTGATCTGGCTCACCTTACGAGAGGCCGAACGGCCGGAAGGCTTCTGAGGGGCCAAAGTTGCCCCAAAAAGCCCAAAAGGCATCGCAAAGAGCACTTGGAGGGGTGGCAGCTAGGAGCACGATTCAATCTACCAGCTGCTTCAAAGGGGTCACCAATGGATATCTCCACATGACTATACAGGTCTCCAGACAGGACACCCTTTGGGAAGCGCTAGGTACCGGATTCAGTTGATCCAATTGGACAAGTCTTTTTAGAGGACCCAGTGACCCAGTGCTTCGCACCCAACTGGCAAACCGGCTTGTTGTTTGCTTCAATCAGTACATTTGGGTCAAGGGGCCAATGTGCAAAAGGCCGTTCTTTAGAACCGTTTCCCACCCTTCAAACCAACCTCGGGAGGTGGTCTTTAGGCTGAACCCTTCAGTTCGTTCCCTAGAAAATAGGACAGCAAAAATGCACCAAACGATTTTAGGTAGGCTCTTAAGACTCAAGAAGCTGTGTGTGCACAATCACTCCAGGTAGACTCCTTGACTCCAGGTAGACTCGGTGCTTGGTGAATCAGACCCAACCAACCAGGCGGCCAATGTCTCCCGCCCCAACATTGTGGCGACCACCGTGGCTGTGGGCGGCCGTGCGCCCGGCGCTGGTGTTCGGGGTGGTGGTGACCTGGGAGATGAGGGTTTTGGGCGAAGGCAGGGCGAGGCAGAGGGCTTGGCAACAGAACTTTGTGGAATATGATTGCATCATCATCCACTACGACGGTTGGGAGGTTTGTGTAGTTGCTGGATGCTGCCTTGAAACTAAGTTGAAAGTTTGGCAGACCTATGATTTTGCATGATTGACATATGGGTCAAACTTGTCACATGTGTTTTTGTTTTCATACATATAATTATGGGTATTTGTTAGTTCAAGTGCTTTCAATTAGCAAACGACGTTGAAGCAAGGTGTCACATTCATCACTTCATCACTGGGTGTTTGGCAGTGAAGCGGATGATGATGCGGTTAAGGGGTGAAAGCATGGCATGATTTTGTTGTGCTTTTTCATGCCAAAGAACTCAGTTTTCCAAAGTTTGACCCATAGACGCAGCTATGACGGATGCAGACAGCTGTGCAAATCCTTTCAATCAACGGCCTTTCAAACGTCACTCCGTTTCCAAGCAAATACTATCCTTTAACTCCAGGCCCCATATACCCACTCCACTCCACCCCTCTGTCATTTTGTGCCGATGGACCCAACCAATTCGATGGTGCTGCCAGGAGTGACGCCAGCACTGACGCCGACGCAGGCGGCCGAAGCACGTGCGGTTGGCATGTGGACGTGATGGTCCCAGTTCCGAGACACAAATCCAAGCGAGGCATAAGATAGTAAGAAGAAACAGTATCCAGGATAATGTAAAAGCTCCTTTGAATCTTTGTGGAAGTCTGTGCATCTGAGAACTTCGAAGAACGGCAGAGGCAGTGAACTTTGCTTTTGCTTTGTGTTTCACACACCTTCGCATGGTGATTTGAATCTGCACCTCTCTTTTTTTTGGTTCCCTGGTTCCCTTGGGTAAGTTCGCACAGTACCCGTTCTCAGAACTTGAAAGTGGATGGCCACAACATACTACTGTAGGACTTCATCCGAGAATTCTTCAGGGCTATGCCATGCATCATGCATAATCATGCTATATCATGCTTTCAATCGCTTTATGGCATGGTAATCCTTCAAGGACAGGAACCCCAGAAGATCCCAAATTCCGATCAATCCCCTGAACATTCCGCCTGGAAACAGCCGGTCAACAATCAAAAGGCTAGCAACTCGACCGTCACCTTTTCCATGCCTTCCTTTCGAAACGCTCTCAGTCTAAGCTGCGTCGGGGTAGCAGCTTCTTCCAAGCTATTCTTCTTTTCTGGAGATAGCCTTTAACGGACCTACAGTGACACACCCAGTTGCCGCTGTCTCATAAAGAAGCTGTTCGCATAAAGCCTGTGACAGTCTAGAATCCTCCATGTGTTTGAAGCGTCCTTCCACCACCGGTCCCTGCAGTGGGACCTTCCCAGTGCTGGGACCTGCAGCTGCAGTGCCTCCCAACCCCTCCGACGCTGGGACCGACTCCAAGCCACCGCCACAGGTGGCCTATGTTGCCTTCAGCCTTGCTCTCCAGCAGGGCTTCGCCCGTCGGGGCGCTCGAACGAGCGAATCCTGGTGCAGCACAAGGGAGGAGGAGCCAGGGTGAGCCTGGGAGGGGGCTGTGGTTTTTTGGATTCATCTCCGTGCAGAATGTAGAATCTTGATCCATAAACCTCAGAGGTTTTGCAATCCAAATGGGGGGGTTATTAATCAAGAGTCTACAGTCTACAGTACATCTTCCAAACGTGTGGCCGGATGGATGGATTCGGCTTATGGAAGACATGGATCCATCATGGAACCCAAACCAACAAACATGAGTACCTGGGCTTGCTTAGGTTGATTTGCTTCTTTTCCTGCATGTTCATATGTTTCTTTTGTTCTCGGTTCCTTAAGCCAATCCAAGAGTATCGGGGTGATATGTTTCCACATGTTCGATGGGTGCCAAGTCCCTCTACAGCATCTCGGAGTAGGGTATCCGATCCCATGATATTATCATATAAAAATTCCGATACCAAGTTCCTGCGGGGTGGTGTGACCCAGGTTTGTGGGGGTTCAGATACAGGACACAACGTTTTTGTTGGCCACCTTCCAACCAGTGCTGTCTTTCAGATCTTTGACTTTTGTTTCCATCGACCAACTGATGGAACGAATCCCCAACAGAGGGCTGACAATTAGAGGTGTGAAGGACGGAAGGACAGCTGGTCATCCACCACCGTGTCGTTGAGTTGTGCTGTCATCCAGCTTCTCAGTCCAATGTATGACCCCAAATTCGAGAGCTGCAGGACCAGAGACCGTGTTTGCCTCCTAAGGAAGAGGAAAGTTATATACTTTGGCTAGCGGCTATTTAATAGAAGCATGGATCGCAGCTCTTTGTTGTTCAACTATATATTACGTATGCGTCCCTTCACACCAAATTCTAGCTCCAAGTAGCATAGAGTAAGCAATGAGGAGCCCCTACTTAACTCGCACCTTTGCGAATTCGGACTCCAGCCAGCGGCGCAACCTAATATAGTCGTTGCGTAGTTGAAGGCTTTGGGAATCGCATCCTGGAAGCCAAATGCCATGCACAAATGCAATCTGCCGTCCTGACAAAGAGCTCCTGGTGCATCAAGCTGAGGCTCAGAAGCTGCAATGGCTGCACTGGAGGCTACCCTTGGGCAGATTTGTTTTTGTGGTTGGTCCCCGAGTATATAAAGACACGCACACACACAACATGTCAAGATTTCCCTACTTGGCAATCACGGATGTTTTGTTCTCGTCACCAGTGTCCATCACATGATTGCGGGTCAAAGCCCTGCTGAGAAGAAGTGGATTGTGTCAATTGTGTCAGCTTGAACTTCTCTTATCTTCAGGCATTTGAAGGCTTTCAAAATTGCAACAGAGTGGTCAACAGGTATTTGCTGGCAGCTAACCTAAACTAGCAGAAATGACATGTTGGTTCGATCATTTCGTTTCAATTGGGATGCTTTTGGATGAGGCCATCCCATAGTTCCTAGGCCTAGACTGAGGCTCAAGCCTGTAAAGTCTTGTGGGGGTGAAAACTACGCGAAAACTACAAGACAGACCGGTGGCCAAGACCAACGGATTCTCTCATTATATAGACATGTCGCCACCTGGCAGAGAAGGTTCCAAACGCCTGTTCGCCTTTTTTGTTGCTTTGCTGAGCCCGTGAGTCTTGTCTCACCAGCATGGGAAACATGAATGGCACCATGATCATCATGAATCATGACACCGTCTCCTCGAATCTCCTCGAAATGGGAAAGACGCCGGCTTCGCGAGTCTCATCTCCCAGAGAGAAGAAGCGAGTCTCCTGTGCCACCCGGGGACGAACATGACCGTGGTGCACACACAAACCGTCTTGTCGTATTGTTGAGGTGAGAAAGGATTTTCTGATGTCAGACCATTCATGGGACTTCACGGACTTGAATATGTATATAAATAAATAAATATAGACCCATCTTGAGCCTAAACACATTTTGTTTAAAGAAAATACAACCACACAAATGGAGGGCAAATTATGATATATATATATACATGGATTGTTGGGGGTTCCTCATGTCTCCTCCTGAAAAAAACAACGTGAAGACCCCCCAAAACGGTTACAGGATGTTACAGGTCCTGCTCCAAGAATACTGTCGTGTTCCAGTCTCCATAAGTCGTCTTGGTTCCCGCCCGAGACCGATCTCATCCAAGCTGCAGCAGAGCCTGAAGAGCTCTCGACGAAACGCAAGACCTGCAGCCTGCAGCAAAGCTGTTCCGCAGGTCTCAAGTCTGGACGAAGACAACAACTTGGCGCCCTTGGCGGTGGGAGAGCCCGGGGGAGATGGGAGGATCATCGGAGAATCGAACGGCGATAGGGATAGAAAGGGCAGCATTGAATGTTATATGCATAATAGGCTTTGTGACCCCCCCCAAAACCCAGAGGGCATGACTGTGTGAGAATTTGTGTTGAGATGCCTCCACAATGGCTGCTTGTTGGGGGTGCCCATGTCGCAAGACTGGATAAACTGGGATGAGTAGTAAACAGTCAATTCACGTCTATGCCCAGATACCGTTCTACCCAGGCAGACGGTTGATCGATGACCCATGTCTTGCTTCCATTTCTATATATACAACACAACTATAGGGGCTTAAGTCCTGCATGTCCAGTACTCCCACACTATCCCACACCTCACAGCCATTTGTGGGCTACGACATGCTACGACATGCTACATGAAACGTGTCCTGCGGCGTGCGGAGTCTCCCAGGACGTCATGATACTTTCGGGCCTCGATGTGCCAGAGGCAGGGGACGCCTGTCGGGTCCGATTCGACTGGATGTCGTCGTGAGCGAGTCTGAAGTCGACGATGGGTCCAGGTTGCAAATTGAGTGATTGGGTGTTGTTCATCCTCTTGACTCCGGTGGCGGAAGCTCGGGCCAAGCAACCTGGGCAGTTTCTCT